ATCGCTCGGGCGCTTCCGACACTCACGCCAAAAGTGTCCCGGTTTGCGGCAATAGTGACACTTGCCGCGATGCTCGCTCCCACCCGACGATTCATTCGTCGCACCCTTGCTCCACTTGGACTTCTTTCCGGAACTCCCTCCGGAGTACATGGCGGTCCCCTCGCTCTCATTCGCGAATTGTCGGCGACGTGATTCCTCATGGAGAAGCCGACCGACCACCATTTCCTTCGTCCAAGTGCCTTGCACGCTATCGAGTGTCGTAATCACCGTCGACCACTCTTCCGGAAGGCCGCAAAGCAAGGTGAGAATCCAATCCTCCTCCGTGACCGTTCCACCGAGGTCCATGAACGATTCCCCGAGTTCCTCCACACGAGTCGCATACTCGTGCTTCGATTCGCCCGCGCGCATCTTCACCGTGTAGAACGCATTCCGGGCTAGGATCTTGCCGTGGAGAGTCTTGTTCACGTGGATGGTCTCGAGCCGCTTCCACGCTTCATGCGCCGACGCTTCGAGCTTGATGCACATGCGCACCGAGCTCACGAGATTGATGCCGATGCGCGAAATCAACGTAGCGAACGCCTTTTGGTCCTTCTTCTTCCATGCCGCGATGTCGCTCTCGTCGTCCGGCTTCTTCTCCGTTCCATCGAAGAATCCCCAAAGTCCCCGCTCCATCATGAGCACTTGGAACTTAAACTTCCACGCGGAGTAGTTTTGTCCCGTGAAAATCGGTACCGCCGACGTGTCGAACATCGTCGCGGTTGCCCAGGGTTCGCCGGTATTTACAACGACACCATCCAAGGAAGTGCGGGAGGCCTCGCTTGACGTCATCATGCTTGCTCCTTGTCGCGCGCGTAGACTCCTCCGACCAGCTCTGATACCACTGATGTAGAGGCGTGTCCTCTAGTTGGCAGGAACTAGGAATTGTTTCAAGCAGTAGAGCACACTCTTGGCTTTCCAAGGAGCCGTATAACACGTAATTCGCCCAAGTATCGGCTGAGATACGGCTTTCAACGTGCTAGGTAGTGCTCTAAGATTGAAGGATAGAAAGTCTCTGGATTTTGTGTCGAGTTGAACTGTGTATAGAAAACTCTGATTTTCAGTATATCATGCATACAAAGCAATCACAATATATAGCTACTCAAAACATCGAGTCGCGCATGTAACATACGAGATGCATCGAGAACATTCGCGTAACAATTCGAAGGGGTGAAATTCGGCACCCGAATTTCACCGAACCGAATTCTTCCTTAGTCTCGATCCTTCTTGTGTTGCCATGTGGCACCAATTGAGTGGGTCTTCCGAAGTCAACCCACACACTTCGTGAAACCTGCAGCTCTCTCAAGCGGTGAGCACCGAAACACATTCGGTGGGTTGGGGGCATATCAATTGCCCCACCACCGTTTGCTTCTAACTCACGCGACCTCCAACAGTTCTACTTACGAGTATTAAAATGCCTCATCGCTCGCGGGTTCCGGATCCCGCGGCGGCCGTTTCACTTGCACATGGAGATGCGCTGACGTCGCTTCTCGATCTGACGGCTGCCGTCGTCATTGCCGCCAGAGGCGCTAAGATCCTCTCTGCTAGGTATTTACCTGCGAAAAAACTAAAAGTTTTATAATTGTTCGTGATATTTATCACTGTCTTACCTCGGCACAAGATGATCAAGTCCTTTTTCATGAGGGAGTTGCGGGTTTCATGAAGATTTCATGCGTAAAATAAGTTCTTTCAGATTAGTTGCAACTGGTACGCTGGATATGACATTCTGCTCTCACAAAGTGCTTAAGATTGTGGTTTCATGAAGAGAGATTGTGATTTTACGAGGAATTCCATGCAGTGGCCATTGCTTTTTGACACAAGCATGTATGAAATTTGACGCTTGGTTCGTTCAGCGTATCGCACTAACGTGCCTAAATTTTAGGTCTATTCCTCTTTAATGTCTCTAAACTAAGCATGTTTTAGAAGCAACCTAAGGTGGCTACGGTCATTCACGGCTTGTCTTCTGTATTTTCTATCATATCCCCTTGTGCTCGGTCCGGTTATGTCAATAAAGGTACCAATCCTTGTGTGAGCGGAGATGGAAGAGGTTTGCAGTAAAAATGGCTCGTATTGGCTTGTATTTTTATTTGTATTCTTAATGATGGTCATTCTTCGTGGTGATGGTTTTCCACGGGTAGGGTCAGAAACTTTTATCTTGGCTCTAACATCAGCTTGCTCATCATCAGCATCTCATAATCAAATTGCGAGTGGGCTGCATCTCGTGTTTCTTCTGGCCACCTGCTCTCTCGTCTGTCTCCCTCACTCTCTCTCGCCTCGCTCCCCATCTTGATCCTCCGTATTCCATCAGCATGGGTGCGTGCGAGCTGCTGCACAGAAACCAAAGTCTTTAGAAAACTGATCCATTTTGAGGCTCCGCTGCCTTCTCTCCCCACCAACTCGCTCCTCCCCTTTCTGATCAACCTGATTCCTTCAGCATGGGTGCATGCGAGCTGCTGCAGAAGAATCCGATCCATTTTGGAGCTCCGCTGCCCTCTCTCCCCACCCACTCGCTCCTCCCCTTTCTGATCACCCTGATTCCATCAGCATGGGAGCGTGCGATGCGAGCTGCTGCAGCAGCAGGTACCATGGTCTCTAGAGAATCCGATCCTTTTGGAGCTCCGCTGCCTTCCCCCACCCACTATCTCCTTCCCATCCCTCGCGCCTCCATCCCTTTCTGATCCCCCCTGCTTCCATCAGCATGAGAGCGTGCGAGCTGCTGCAGCAGGAGCCGGGGTCTTTAGAGAACCGATTCATTTTGGAGGTCCCCTGCCTTCTTTCCATCACTCGCTCCCCCCCAATCCTTCGCTCCCCTCCTGTCTGATCCTTTCAGCATGAGAGCGTGCGAGCTGCTGCAGCAGGAGCCGGGGTCTCTAGAGAACCGATTCATTCTGACGTTTCGTTGCCCTCTCTCCCCATCTCTCCCGTCCCCTTTTTGTATTCGTTTTTAACAGCATGGGGGCGTGCGAGCTGCTGCAGCAGGAGCCGGGGTCACTAGAGAACCGATCCATGCTGGAGCTGCTGCATTTGAACGACCAGCCGCTTTTCATGGTACTTCCACCCACCTGGTCATGTGTGTGGGTGGTTGGGTGTGTGTGTGTGCACGTGCACATTTGTGTTCGCGTGTGTGTGTGTGTGTGTGTGTGTGTGTGTGTGTGTGTGTGTGTGTTTTGCCATGCTGGAGCTACTCCACCTGAATGACCAGCCGCTCTTCATGGTACTCCCACCGACCTTGCCTTGCCGATCCATAAGAGCTCCTTGCACAGCAAACTGTGTGCACACGTGCCTCCTCTTTATTCTTTGCTCCGTGCTGGAGCTGCTTCATTTGAACGACCGACCGTTCTTCATGGTACTCCTCCCACCCGACTCTTGCTTATCGTTCTTCTTGTCTTTCCTTTTTTCCTCTTCTTTTTATTGTCACCCCACGCCACGTTTGTCCGCATGCATCCGTGGAAATCCACATGGATTCTGATTGCACACGTGTCCTTCCCTCTTCTCTCTTCGTTCGAGCCTCAAGATTCACTCCCTTACTTAACTCCTCGTTTTTCTCCACCGGCTTTTAACAGGACACGCTGGTTAAGTGCGCGCGCTTAGCTCCCTCCAGCAGCACAGCTCCGTCGGTCCGCCCGTGCAGTGCACACGCCGCCACAGGAACCAGCCAGCCGAACTATAGGCAGCAGTCTCCTGGGAATACACCCCCATGGGTTACAGTACCCGCTACAACAACCCCTGCCACAACTCCTGCCACAACCCCTGCGGCAACTCCTGGAGTAACCCCCTTTCACCCGCCGCACCAGGAGTCGCACGGTTGTTTTTCAGGCGCTTCTTCTTCGCACGCTGCCCGGCGCGAGTTTTGTACTGCTGGGGCTGCTGTTTCGGGCAGCGGCGGAAGGTTTTTCCGTGGGCAGCACCAGCTGCACGTGCGTCTGAGGGTGGATGAGGAAGCAGAAGGGGAGGACCCTCAGACTGAGCAGCAGTTTGTGTGGGTGCGCGCGCGGATGCTGCCTGTGGTGGCAAGGAGACAAGGCGTAGGAGAACCAAGGAGAGATGCAAGGGGAAGGGAGTCAGAAGGAAGCGATGCAGCGTTTGTAAGAGGGCAGGCAGGGGCAGCGGGTGCTGGAGCAGGAGAAGGATCAGAGAGGCCAGGAACAGCAGCAGCAGCAGCAGCAGCAGGAGGAGCAGGCGGTAGAGGAAGGCTGTCAGTGGTGTGTGTATTCGAGGAGCTAGAGGTCGTCCCAGCTTCTGTGACTGCGCCTGAAGTGGCGCCTGTAGCAGCGGCACCGGGAATTTTCTTAGACCCTGCTGCTGCTTCTGCTGCTGCTACTGCTGCCGCCGCTACTTCTGCCGCTGCTTTCGCTGCCGCCGGTACCACTTTTGCCGCCGTTGCTACCTTCGGTGCTGCCGCCACTGCTGCTGCTGCTGCTGCTGCTGCTGCTGCTGCTGCTGGCGATACAACTGCTTCCGAATCTTTTTCACCTGTCCCTTTCCCGAACGCTGCTATGCCAGGTGCTCCTCCTACTCTTACACTATCATAAGCAGTCGGCACGCACACACCAACCCTGAGCCCTTTCCCGCATATCTCCAGCTTTGAGCACATGCAACGCGCACCAGGAGAATCTGCTGATAGAGCAGCAGCAGCAGCATCAGCAGCCGGCGCATCCGCTGCAGCTCCCCCTGCTCCTACCGCCTCCGCCGCAGCAGCAACAACAGCAGCAACAGCAGATGCATCACCCACAGTTGCTGCCGCCGCCGCAGTACCAGCAGCAGCAGCAGGACCATCAAGGGCCAGGCTACCGGCAGCAGCTCCTTCTGTTACGTTAACTCCAGCACACCCCAGCTCCTCTCCTCTCGTCCCCCCAGCGACGGCTGTAGCAGCTGCAGCGGCTGTAGCGGCGGCAGCCGCAGCCGCTACAGCCACCCGCAAGCCCCAGCCTGCGCCTGTGACTATAGAGAAGAGGAAAGGACCCATGACCTTGCCTACTCTCCCCCGGTGGCGCTCTAACGAGGATCTTATAGAGGAGGGAGATCCGTTAGAAGACAGGCAGTTACTGGATCAGCTTCCAACGAGGATAGAGGAGATTAAAGCACGTTTGGAGAGTGGAGAGGGTTTGGAGGAAGAGGCGCCTAGAGTTGGAGCAGGGGAGAGGAGGCGGCAAGGGGATTTGGGGAAGTGGCAGGGAGGGAGAGGAGGTAGAGGGAACCGGGGGCAAGGACGGGGTGAATGGGTGAGTGCTGAGGCGAAGGGTGGGCAGTTGTTAGGGCAGGAGAAGGGGCGAAGCAGTGATAGGGAGAAGGAGAGGAAAGAGGGGAGCACGAGAGACAGGGAGAAGGGAGAGGGAGACCGGGAGGAGCAGCAGAGCATGAGTGGTGGGTGTAACAGTGCTGCTGCTGCGGAGGAAATTGGCAGTGGGGCAGGTCAAATTGGTGGTTTGAACAATGAAAGCAGTGAGAGGGAGGCGTTATCTGGGGAAGGTGGGCTGGTATCCTATCGGTTGCATCTGAGGAGGGCACGGGAAGGGGAAGGGGAAGCAGAAGGGGATGTGACTGTAGCGGATGAGATCATGGAGGGGGGATTGGGAGACTTGGGAGGGAGGGGGAGGAGCCTTGGAGCTGGTAGCAGCAGCACGGACCTTCCTTCTGTTGCTGTTGCTGATGCTGGTGCCGCCACCGTCACAGCTGCTGCTGGTGTTGTTGGTGGTGCTGCTGCTGGTGGTGATGATGGTGCTGTTGGTGCTACTGCTGCTGCTGTAAAGGCAGCTGAAAGGGAGGGGGTATTTGAGAGAATTCATGCACCGCAGGCACTGGCAGGGCCATCCCCAGACGCAGCAACGGAAGGGAGAGGTAAAGGGAAGCAGGTGGGAGGGCAACGGATAAGAGTTCTACAGGGGGATGATTGTGGTGATGTTGGGGATGGTGGTGATGGTGGTGATGCTGCAGGTGGTGATGCTGCAGGTGGTGATGCTGCAGGCGGTGATGTTTCTGCTGCACGAGTGATGCGTGAGGTGAAGGGGGAGGCAGGAGCTGAATCGAGCATCAAGGCTGGAGGAATGGGAGCAGCTGCAGCTTCCTCTGCCGCTGCGGGTTCACACGCTAAGTCCGCTGCTGCTGCTTCTGCTGCCGCTGCTGGTGCTGCTACTTGTTCTGCGTCTGGATCTGCCTCTGCGGCTTGTTTCAGGGCAGATGTGGGAGTGGGGGAGGTGGCGGTGACGAGTGGAGGTGGGGAGTCAGGGCTTTGGACGGATTACCTCAAGAAGGGGTTGACTCGGCTGTTGGAAGCTCAGAACGCCCCCAGTGATGATGAAGATGATGATTATGATCACGATCGTGATCGTGATGTGGTGCAGAAAGAGCAGGCGGGCGGAAAGGATGAGGAGACGGGGGAGATTGGGGAGACGGGGGAGAGAGGAGAGATGGTTGGGAGGAAAGGAGGGGGGGGAGAGAGAGCAAGGGGCGTGTTGGATCTGCCGAGTGAGGGAGTGGAGGGGGAGGGGGAAGCTGCTGGAAAGGCGAGTGAGGAGGAGGAGGTAGAGGAGATTGTGAGGGTCAAACCGGGTCGGATGGGGATGGGAATGGGGATGGGGATGGGGACGGGGATGGGGGGGGTGGATGAAGCCGCAGCAGGGAGAGGGGCAGATGGGCAAGGAGCGAGTGTCGTGCCACCAGGGGTGCAAGCTGCTGCTGCAGCAGCAGGAGGAGGGGGGGGACCGGATTCGGATAGCCTAAGCAAGTTCTTTTCCGCCTCGGTAAGAAAAAAAAAAAAAAAAAAAAAAATCACACACACACGCATTTTTTTTGCCTCAGTAATTCGTCCCTCTTTCCCTCTCTCCAGCTGTGCTCGTCCGAACAATTCCGCCTTGCCGCTTTCGTCCTGATTTGGAGTCTAGTTTCGCTTCTTCCCCACCCCCCACATTTCTTCCCCCCCCCCCCCCCCTCTTCGATCCCACCCTCCATCTCACCCTCCCTCTCTCCTTCCCTCCTCCCTCCCTCTCCCCCACCCTCTTCTCCCTCCCCCCTCATCCCCACCTCTTCCTTCCCTTCCTCCCCCCCCCACGCAGAACCCCATATTCGTTTGTAAGAACCTCACTGTAGTCGACTGTTTTTTAGTCGACTAAGAATGCCGCCTCTCCTTTCCGTCCCTCTTCCACCCACTCAGGACCCCATATTCGTTTGTAAGAACCTCACTATAGTCGACTGCAACGACAGCGCCGCCCGGATCCTCCGCGTCGCCCAGAATGAACGCAGCACCCGAATCTTCGGCCAATCACCAGTCGTCTTCTCGCCGCCCGTGCAACCCGAGGGAATCCTATCCGCAGTAGCAAGCGAGCAGCGCTGGCTGGATATAGCTACGAGCAATGGCCGCCCGTTCCGGTTCCCCTGGGTGCACATGTCAATCGACGGTCAGATGTTTCTCGTGGAGGTGATGGCGATGGTGCTAGTGGACGGCCCAGATACATTCCACATCACCATGTGGAAACAGTACCTCAACTCCTCGTCTCTTACCCGCGAGTTGCGGCTCGCCGCCCGCGCGAAACGGGCAGCCGAGAGGTCTCGAGTTCAATTCCTGGCGAACATGAGTCATGAGCTGAGGACACCTATTAATGGCGTGTTGGGGTATGCACAGCTGATGATGCAGACACAGCTTGATCCGGAGCAGCAGTCTTATCTGCAGAGTATATACGAGTCGGGAGAAGTGCTGCTGGGAACGGTTTCTCAGGTAAGGGTTTATTTTAGCTCTTCCATGAGAGTAAGTGAGGTGAGTGGGGTATGCACAGCTGTTGATGCAGGCTCAGCTGGATCCGGAGCAGCAGTCGTACCTGCAGAGTATATACGAGTCGGGAGAAGTGCTGCTGGGAACGGTCTCGCAGGTGAGCGTTCATTGCAATATGTTTTTCAAGCTGCCAATCCTAGCTGTTTGTTATGTGAATTGATCTATCCGACTCTCCCAATCCCGTCTCCACCCCAGAACACCCTTCTTCACCCCTTAACGCCGCTCTCGGAAACCTTACACCTTTGTCTTCACCCCTTGACACCCCTCTTCACCCTTCCATACCACCAGGTGTTGGAGATGAGTCAGCTGCAGAAGCGGGAGGTGGTGCCAAGGCAGGTGCGGTTTGATCTGCACAGGGCTATTGGGGAGGCGGCTGGCAGCATGCGGCCTCTGGCGCACAGGAAAGGGCTGCAGGTGGGTGCTGCTGGGTGCAGGTGAGTACAGGTGTGTCCAGGTGTGTACAGGTGTGAGCTGACTCCTTACTGTGTGTCAGTCGCGGATAGGAAGGGCTGCGCAAATGGTGCCAAGGCGGGTACGCTTCGATCTGCACAGGGCCATTGGGGAGGCGGCTGGCAGCATGCGGCTTCTGGCTCACAGGAAAGGGCTGCAGGAGGGTGCCAATGGGTGCTGGTGGGTGCTGATGGGTGCTGGTTCGGGAGGGAAGCAGAGGGTTCTGGATCAGAGGGTGTTGCAGGTAAGGCTGGGTAAAAGGGAGGTGTTGCCAAGGCTGGTGCGGTTTGATCTGCACAGGGCGATTGGGGAGGCGACTGGGAGCATGCGGCCTCTGGCGCACAGGAAGGGGTTGCAGGTGGGTGCTGATGGGTGCTGCTCAGTGCTGGTGGGTGCAGGGTGTTTTTTTAGTGGGTATTGGTGTGTGTAGCATGGTGGTGGGTAGCAACTGGGGGCTGCCTCGTTGCTGGCAGAATGTGGTCTCTTGCGCACGGGAATCCCATTGCCCTTCTCTCTTGTTCCCTGACATCCCCCCCCCTTCTCACCCCTCACCAGTTCGGATCAGCATGGACAGGGCAGTGCCGCACGCAGTCCTGGGGGACCCATCCATGCTGCGCCAGCTGCTGCTGCACCTGCTCTCCTCCTCGTAATGCAATTGGTGCCGATTCTCTCACTTCCTCCCTCTTCCCCCATACATCCTCCCCCATCCCAGTTCGGGATCAGCATGGACAGGGCAGTACCACACGCAGTGCTGGGGGACCCATCCATGCTGCGCCAGCTGCTGCTGCACCTGCTCTCCTCCTTTCATTTCCCTTCCCTACCTTTCCTCTCCCATCGCCCGTCGCTCTCCCACCCCCCTTCCCCCCCACTCCAGTTCGGGATCAGCATGGACAGGGCAGTGCCGCACGCAGTGCTGGGGGACCCATCCATGCTCCATGTTGCCATCCGCCCCATGCTTCATGCCCTCGTTCCCATGCATCTCCCTCTCCCTCCCCTCTCCCCCTCCCCAGTTCGGGATCAGTATGGACAGGGCAGTACCACACGCAGTGCTGGGGGACCCATCCATGCTGCGGCAGCTGCTGCTGCATCTGCTCTCCAACGCCCTCAAGTTCACCCACCAAGGCACCGTGCAGCTCACCGTTCGCGTGCTGGCCCCTCCTGGCGCTGCTGCTGGTTCTGCTGCCGGTGCTGATTCTCTCGCTTCTTCCCTCTTCTCCCGTGTACCCCCCTCCCTTTGGCAGTTCGGGATAAGCATGGACAGGGCAGTGCCGCACGCGGTCCTGGGTGACCCATCCATGCTGCGGCAGCTGCTGCTGCATCTGCTCTCCAACGCCCTCAAGTTCACCCACCAAGGCACCGTGCAGCTCACCGTTCGCGTGCTGGCCCCTCCTGGCGCTGCTGCTGGTTCTGCTGCCGGTGCTGATTCTCTCGCTTCTTCCCTCTTCTCCCGTGTACCCCCCTCCCTTTGGCAGTTCGGGATAAGCATGGACAGGGCAGTGCCGCACGCGGTCCTGGGTGACCCATCCATGCTGCGGCAGCTGCTGCTGCATCTGCTCTCCAACGCCCTCAAGTTCACCCACCAAGGCACCGTGCAGCTCACCATTCGCGTGCTGGCCCCTCCTGGCGCTGCTGCTGGTTCTGCTGCCGGTGCTGATTCTCTCGCTTCTTCCCTCTTCTCCCGTGTACCCCCCTCCCTTTGGCAGTTCGGGATAAGCATGGACAGGGCAGTGCCGCACGCGGTCTTGGGTGACCCATCCATGCTGCGGCAGCTGCTGCTGCATCTGCTCTCCAACGCCCTCAAGTTCACCCACCAAGGCACCGTGCAGCTCACTGTGCACGTGCTGGCCCCTCCTGGCGCTGCTGCTGGTGCCGCTGGTGCTGCTGGTACTGCTGGTTCTGGTGGGGGAGTGGGGGCGGGAGGGAAGCAGAGGGGTGTGGGTCGAAGGGTGTCGCAGGTTATGGGCAATGCAGGGGAAGGGCTACAAGGGGGCTTAGTGGGGAGAGAGTTGCAAGAGCAGGAGGGTAAACAGGAGCAGCAGCAGGCGGAGCAGGTGCAGGAACAGGAGCAGCAGGAGGAGGAGGCCTGTTCTGCTGCTGACTCTCAGGCGGTGTGGGGGAGGAGTGAAGGGGGAGCAAGTGGGAGGGAGAGTGGGACTCGAATCATGACTGTTTCAGAAGCCCAGTTGCTGCCGCAGGCTGCTGAGAGGGAGCGCAAGGAGAGGGAGAGGAAAGCGATGGAGAGGGAAGAGAGGGGGAGGGAGGAGAGGGAGGGGGAAGCGCGGGAGGCGGAAGAAAACGAGGGGGAAGAGAGAGACAAAGACGGACCCGGGACAGAGTTTAGGGCATCAAAGCAGATCACAAGGCTTTCATTTGAGGTGGTGGATACAGGAGTGGGAGTGCCGCCCAACATGCTGCATCAAATCTTCAAGCCTTTCGTCCAAGTGGACGACTCTGCCGCCCGGGAGTATCAGGGCCTTGGGCTGGGATTGGCTATTGCGCAATCGCTTGTGCGGCTTCTGGGCGGCGAGGGGATACATATTGAGAGCGAGCCGGATAAAGGGTCGTGTTTCGCGTTTACCCTTCCTTTTGAGGTGTGGAGAGGGGAGGCGAGGGGTGGAAGGGAGAAGAGGAGGGGAAGGGAGGGTGAGATTGTGGGAGGGGAGAGAGGGAAGGTGGAGGGAGAGGGAGGATCGGGGAGAGAGGTTCTCGAGGGGGGGTTCGGGGATAATGGCGGAGGGAGGGGCAAGCGAGCAAGGATAGTTGAGGAGAGATTAGATGCGGTGAGGATGGGTGGGGAGAGGTTCCAGTCGTTTGAGGCTGATACGGGGGAGATTGGCAGGTTTGTAGCAGAGGGGGGTGAGTGTGGGGAGAGCAGTAGGGCAGGGAAAGAGGGAGAGGACGCGAGGAAGGGAGTTGCAGGGAGTGTGAAGCGGAAGCGAAGAGAGGAGGGTGGTGATGTTGATGATGAGATGGGGATAAGGCAGGAGCGTCAGGGGGAGGAGGTGGGTGGAGGAATGTGGGGAGAGGTGCAGGGAGGGGAGTGGGGAGAAGAGGGAAGTGATGAGATGGAGGAGGAGAGAGGGAAGAACAGAGGGGAGGGGAGGGGGGGGAGTAGCGATGTATTGGCACAGAGAGAGGAGGCGAGGAGAAGGAAATGGAGGGTGCAACACGACAGGGGTTTTTTCAGTGGGGCAAGGCGTGCCAATAAGGGCCGTTTTGAAGCGCCTCAGAAGCAAGACCAGGGGTTTTCCAGTGGGGCTGGGCCGAGAGGGGAAGGGCGCTTTGCTGAATCGAACCCCTTGGGTGCCGCGCTGATCCGAACCACCAGCCCCATAAGCGCTGCTCTGCTCCGGTCCGAAATTCCTATAGGCACTTCGATAGGTGCTCCTATGGATGGTCCTGAGGGTGCTTCTCTAGGTGCTTCCCTGGGGGGTTCTCTGCGGGATTTCGCCAGTGAGCCTCTCTCACACGACCCTGAAGTGCAAGCCCAGGGCCATGGGCCTGCACCTGTGAGCACTGATGTCCCTAAGGGGGGGCGTACACCAGAGGGGTGTGAGGCTGCCGTTGAGATGCTGCCCATGCATCGGCCAGGCTCGGGTTTAAGCTCGGCTTTAGGTTCGGATTTAGGCTCAGGAAGCTTGGGGTTGGGGTCGGGGTTAGGCTTTGGCTCAGGCTCAAGTTTAGGCCGGTCAGGATTAGGCCCAGGGTTGGGGTCAGGCTTGGGGTCAGGCTTGGGGTCAGGCTTGGGGTCAGGCACGCTTGTGGAGCCTTCACAGCCGGTGATGCCACGTCAACCTGGCTTGGGTGAGAACTTTCAGAGAACATTCGTCTCTTCTCCTGCCAGCCTGGCAGCAGATGGGACCACTGCAGCTACAGCAGCGGCTGTAGCGGGTGCGTCCTCTCTCAGGAGTTCCCAAGGAGCAAATGCAGCCACCGAAGGAAGAGCAGCTGTTGCAGTGGGAGCAGCAGCTGTGTCAACAGAAACCTCTAATGCACATCAAGCAACGGGTGCTGGGCGACATGGCGTGGTGGTAGGCAGCGAGGCAGTGAATCGCAGTGTGTTACAGCCAGTGGCAGCGGCGGCAACAGCACCAACAGCAGCCGCCGTAGCAGGTGTAGCAACTGTAACACGCGGCAATAAGGCAGGGCCGGCAGGCACGGCGGGTGCAGGAAAGACAGGCGCGGGGCTGAAGTGCCTTGTGGTGGACGACAACGCAGTGAACCGCAGCGTGCTGCAGCGGCTGCTGCGCTCGCTCGGAGCAGAGCAGCTGGTGTTGGCCCGCAACGGCGCAGAGGCAGTAGCGGTGTGTGAGAAGGATGGAGAGGGGTTGGATGTGGTGTTTATGGATCTGCACATGCCTGTCATGGATGGGTTTGAGGCGTCAACGCGGATTCTCGGGCTTTGGAGGAGTCGGTATGGGTCTGATGCGGTGCCGCGGACTAGTAGCATGTCGCAGCAACAGCAGCAGCAAGTTCAAGCAGTGCAGCCCTTGCAGCCCCAGCAGGTGCAGCTGCAGCAGCAAGATTATTCATTCCGGTACAGGCCGCTGCTTGTTGCAATCACGGCAAGTGCATTGGAGGAGGAGGAGGAGAAGTGTAGGAAGGTGGGAATGGATTTCTTTCTCACTAAACCAGTGAGATTAGCTTCTCTACGAAGTCTTCTCGACCATGTGAAAGCTGGCAAATAACTAGGGTAGTTTCTACCCTCTTCCCAATGTATTTCGCCTTTAGATGTGATGGGGTTGTATCTAGGCCTTGCTGAGTGAGGTGGCATCTTTGTCGTTCTAAACTCCGCGTGATTTGTTTCCATTGGAAGTGGGTGTCGGCCGTTCTTACACTCCCGTTGTATAAAGTGTCCTGAAGTGCAAGCCGAAGCAGATTATATTAGGCTTGAAAACAGCTCAATGTAAGAACTTAGAGGGTTCATTAACAGCCGGGTATCGATAAAGCGTGTTACGCCTTACTGGAGAACCTTAATACGAAGCGGAGTCATCATTGCACTTCGGTGTTTCGCGAAGGCCAACACTCAAGCGCGCCACGAGTCAGAGAGAGTCGCAGGCCATCGCCCATTGGCGGAAATTAGGTTTTGCGACTGCCTTGGGATCGTCGGAGCTCTACCTGATGGACCGTTCATCCAGCCCTGGCGTCCCACCTGATTAGATCTGGTCAACCCTTTCTTGTCCAATCCCCTCATGACCTTCCCATTTCTATTGCTGCTTGAAATTATTAGTCTGTTCTGTGAAATTGCTATTGCTGGATTCTTCCTTCAGCTCGGGTCCTCAGAAGCCCTAACCTGGTCAGTGCTCAAGACCGATTGTTGATGTCGCTTATGTGTTTCCAGCGCTTGTCGCATTCATCATGGGTTACAGATCCGTTACTTTGGTTAGTTTTTTGGGTTATCTGGTAGCTCTTCTTACCTCCTGTTATTTTTGTACGTGCAGTTACCATGGAGGCCTTCGCCACGCCATACCCGATTTTCTTTTATGATGGAGAGAAGGACGTGGACAAGGGGGTTGTTGGAATTCATTCCTGTTTGACTTTCAAGCGGTTCCAGTCCATGGCTGGACAGAAGGCCGGTCTTCCTCCAGCCACTCTATCAACGGTGCTAGTTTGTAATAAGTCTTCTGGCAACACGGAGAAGAAGCAAAAGCTTCCTATTAACGAGCATACAAACTTCAGCATTATCCTGAACCAGCATAATCCAAGTCGCGAGAGGGATTGCCATTTTCTTGTGTCCTTGAAGAAGTCGAAGAAGGAAAGAAGAGCAGCGAAGAAGAAGGTTACAGAACCAGAATATGTTGAAGCGGAGGGGTCTGTTGCAGCTTCGAGCACGCCATCTTCACCCAAGAGCGTGGATGATGTTTCTCTATTCAAGGATAAGCCGGACTCTAGCTCGTCTGACGACGAGGCAAGTGACTCTCGTTCTGGGGAGCATCAGAAGCAGATACCTTCTTTTGACAAGAGTTCCTCAAATAATGAGACGAGACACGCAGCTGTGGAACCATCTCAACAACCAGTTTCGGTGTGGACGACTGGATCTGCGTTGAAGATTTTGAAGGGTCAAGAGGCATCGAAGACTGCATCAGTGCAAGAAGAAGCCGTTAATAGTGGATGCGTTGCTGCTGGCGACATCGGTGCAAGAGGTGTTTCTGTTCAAGGGAAACCGCATCCATCTGTTACAGCACCCAATTCTCATGCAGGTTCTCCAGGCTTACCTGTTACGATTCTCAACAACCCACTTGACAGCAACATGCGGTCTTCTTCAGATGGTCAACGAACGATGGATGGTCTAGCGGACTCAAGGGCTGGACATCCCGTCCAGAGTGGTCCCAACAGCTGACAAGTTCACAGCAAGTACTCTGGCCTCTGCAGCAGCTGCAGCCTCTGCTGTGGTCCAAGCACACTCATTTCAGCCTTCGCATGCGATTCCTGCTGGTGGCTTTTCACTGTTTGGACCTGATTTAAGCAGCGTTGCTTTGGGCAACATGTTCCACAACGCTATGGCACTGGACTTTAGATTTGGGATGCGAAAGCTGTGCCACTTCTGTTCTTTCTGCCAGGAGAGGCGCATCGTGTCGGTGCCTTTTCACTGGTGCATGGATGACCAAGTGGTGACAGGGTTCAAAGGCCCTTCACCAGCAGGGCCCATTGGAAGACGACACAAGCAGCACAGGGTGGGAGTAATGGCATAGTCTGGTTCCTGCTGTTTGTTGGTTTGGTACATGCTGTATATTTGGACACTGTCAGTGGGAGGGTCCTTTCATTGTTTGAGCACTTGTATGCAATCTTGTTAGGCAGCATAAGCCACAGCTTTTCTCTTGCAAAGTATTATTATGTCTCATGGTGATTGAAAGAAAGCGGCGAGTAGGGAGAATGTTGGCAAATTTTAGCACCTGTATGAGGTGCTACGTGTGTGGTGTAGATACATGCTTCACGAAAATTGTCAACATCAGCCGTTACGCGAAAGGCGGGAACAACGCTAACGGGAAGGCGTCAGAGTATTGCGAACCCCTACACGAAGTTCGTGGCCAATCCGATCTGCTTGCGCCAAACGATTTTCGGCCGGTTTTCGTGAGCCGTCAAGCTCCGGCAGCCCCCACAACCTCCACGCGGTTCGAGCCATCACATGAGACATTCGAGAGCATGCCGCACATTCGTCAAAAGCCATCATGCCTTGGAAATGGATGGAAGCAGTTATGGCGGGAGGGAGCTACTGCTGAGCTGAACTCTCGAATGCCGCATGCAAGCTGAGTTGGGGGCATTTCAATCGTCAATTCAGCTGCAACTCACTCACAAGACAAGACAATCTCAAGGGTGGATAATTTCAGTGCTCCTTTTCAGCTGAGACCTAACACAGCACTGCGTGAAGCTTCATTTCAGAAGGAATCGCCATTTCATCGTCAGTGCTGGAAATCCATGGTCGTCCGAAGGTCGCTGCTCTTCCCACGCGTGCTAGCTCCGAACTGACCTTATTTCCTCGCATCCCTTTTGCGTAACCTCCGTTACGTCATAACGGTAATCACCTCTTGTGCGATGTAACCATGGTTTCCAGTATCACATTATCGACTTTCCGCGTACGTCCCTAGTATTCTCGAGGTGGTCCTAATCCGGGAGAATACATCTCGAAAGCGTTATACTTGTTTAGTGGCCTCGCAGTGAAAGGTATTAGAAACTTTAGGACGCATCTCGAGTCGACTTGTTATGGAGGGCGACTCGTATTTCCCGTTAGGCACTCCGCCAATTCGGAAGGTCCCTACTGGCGCGGCCCGCCATGGCGGACGATCCGCGGTGGCTCCGCGCAAGCGCCGCCGCATCCTCGACCCCGCGCACGTGGACGTCGCCGCTTCCCCCGGAGAAAGCCCCGAGCGGCGGCCTTTCGAGTCCGACACGCCGACTCGCAACGCGCCCCACGCGCTAATCAAAAGCGCCCCCGGCGCTTGGGTTAGAAACGCGCCTGGCGCTGCGCGCGGGGAAGGTTTGTTTTCCGCGGAACAGACTGGCGAGGGTTTGTTGTCCGGTCGCCGTGTGTTGTTTCCGGACGGGAAGTTTGACGGGGCTGGAAAGGGGAACGGCGGGAGCGAAGTGGGGACGGAGGGGAAGGGCACCGAGGGAGTCGCGGGGAAGAACGCATCGGGGGAAGTTGTTGGCGCAATGGTGGGATTGGCGGTTTACCGGCGACTGGCGTTTGGGGACGAGCGAGCGGAAGGGCGGGAGGGTAGCCGAACGACGTTTAACGCTGATGGCGAGGCTGAACGCGAGAGTGAGCAAGAGGACAAAGCAGGCGAGGGCAAGAGCGATAAGGCGGTAGAGGAGAAAGAGAGGGAGGTGGAGGAGGAGGTAGAGGAGGATGAAGTGGAGCTAGAGATTGTGTATGAGGAAGAAGGTGAGGGGGGGAAGCAGACAGAGGAGGGTGGCGAGGAGGATGTGAGAGGAGGAAGCAAGGGAGATGGGGAAGAGAAGGATCGAGAGAAGGAGGTCAGAACGAGGAAAGATCAGCTCAAGGTCTCAGGAGACCCAGGGATTGCCAGAAGCGCCGCTGCCGTTGTTCCTGCTACCAGTGCTGCTGTTACCGCTGCCGCTGTAGCCGACAGTGCCGTGACTCGTTTCTCGTCGTCTAATAACGCGGACGGGGATGACCTATTCCGCTGGAACCGCATCCATAGAGGGAGCACCGGGCCCGGGGGCCGCGGAAGCGGATCCAGTGGGCCCAAGACACGTGGCGAGGTGCTGGCAGCCATGGTGGGCGTTCAGATGCCACGTCAGCAAGGGGTACGAAGCATGGCGCCGGATATGGAGGGGCGGGTAACGGCCGCAGCAGCAGCTGCAGGGGGGGTGAGAAGTGGACGGGCTGGTGTGTCCCCGATACAGTCACCTTCGAAAGGAGCAGCTATTAAACGTGCAGTGAGAGGGGATATAGGTGCAGAAGCAGGAGGAGGAGCAGGAGCGAGGGCAGCGAGAGCGGCGGCAGGGATGGCAGCAGCAACGGTGGCGGCGAAGGAGGAGGCTGCCGAACTTCCACCACAGTGAGTCCCTCGCTCCTTCCCGTCTTAAACCGTCTTGAAAAGGCCTGAACCGCCCAGTATCCTCCAGTATCGCCCTACCCCCTGTTCTGTCCCGTGTCACCCTGTACCCCACTGTACCCCACTGTACCCCCCTATCTTGGCCTGTTCTTCTCCATCCTTTTTTCCAGACCTTTCCTCCAGTCCCCGCTCGTTTTAGCCCTTCTCCTCCTGCCTTGGGATCCACCATCGTTTTGCCTTTCCCGCCCCTTTCTCCGCTTCTCCTTCCCCTTCCCCTCCCTGCCCCCGTCTTTGCCCCCTTCCTCTCTCCCGTGAAATTTCCCAAAACGTCTCTCCCACCTCTTTCTACAACTGAGAAGGTTCCTGGAAATCGCGCAGCTGTTCGACGCGCTGGAGCTGAGCTGCCGCCTGCTGCACGCGAGGAAGCTTCTGTGCTCCTTCCGGGCGATTAAAGACGCGGTGCAGGACGTGACTAAGAGGCGCTTCACTCAGCGGCACCTGGCGCAGATGTTGTTCGTGGGGGGCGGAGGGGGAGGGGCAGGGGGAGGGGGAGGGGGAGGAGGGGGAGGGGCAGGGGGAGGAAAGGGGGGAACGGGAGGAGTTGGCGGAAAGGTAGAAGAGGGAGGAGGTGGAGAAGGGGTAAAGGAAAAGGAGAAAGGAGGAAAGGAAGGGAAGGACATATCACTGAGTCCTGTTGCACTTAGCGAAACAACACTTAGTAAAGCAGATGCTTTCAGCAGGGTATCTGCCCGCCAGGCTGTGCTAGGCGTGCCGCTGCTTAGAGTGGAATCGGTTCTTCTGCCCGAAAAAAACTCCTCTCCTGTGAAATTCTCAGGGGCGGCAGGCAGGGCGGCAAGGTTTGGACGTAGCGTGTGGGATCTGAAGATTATATTGGAGAACGAAGGGGAAAGGAAGGAGGACGGTGGTGAAAGTGATATGCCTGCAGCTGCGGATGGTGGTGCTATTAGCGGTAGTGGTGCAGGGGGCGATGGAGGGATAACAGGAGGCGGATTGGCAGCAGGCATGGCAATAGGCACAGGCATGGCAGGAGGGAGGGTGAGGAGCGAAGAGAGTGACATGCTGTGGCGGAAAAGAGAGTTCCGAGCCAGGCTGGGGAGACTGGCTCGTGCCATGGGGGCAGTGGGAACGGACAAGGATGTGACTGCAGCAGATGTGACTATACCGGAGGAGAGTCTGCCAGACCCACTCTCTCCCTCCCCGGCATCAGCTTTAGAGTCTCGTGCATCTGTTAATGCTCATGCCACTCACTCTAGTCACACTCATTATAGTCACACTCGCTCTACTCACCCTGTCAGTCGCAGGAGTCTATTTCCTGAAGCATCCACCAACCCTTCCTTTGCCGAAGCTGGTCTAGGCTCGGCGCCAACAGCTGCACCCTTTGCCAGGCCTGTTTTGCAGGTGCGGCCAGTTTCCCCAACCCATCGCCATCGGCCTGCTTCGGCAGATAGGGTCGGCAGGAATCCGAACCCAGACTTGGGCGCTCGTGTGCGGGTGGACCTCACTCCATCGTTGGATCGGTTGGCTCGCCGGACCAACGTGGGAGGTTTGGCAGGAGCAGCCGAAGCTGGGTCCGAGCAGGCTAGGGCAGCACGGCAGCTGCTGTTTGGAGGAACAGCTGAGGTTGCTGGGGCTAGTGGTGGGGCTTCAGGTGCATCTGGTGCTGCTGGTGCTGCTGGTGCTTCTGGTGCTGCTGGTGCTGCTGGTGCTGCTGGTGTTGCTGAAATAGCCAGAAAAGGAGTTGAGGAGGGAGAGAAGGAGGTGTGGGGTGGTGATGTGGTAGGGGAGCTGGGCTCACTGCAGCAGCAGGGAGTGGGGAAAGGTGGAGAACAAGATGGAGCGGTCGGGAGGGGTGGAGGAGACAGCGATGGGGAGGGTGGGGGAAGTGACTCGGAGATCCTATCTCGCCTGCCCCAAGGGCTCGTGCACTCGGTGCGTCAACCTTTCTCACATTGCAGTAGTGTGCTGCGAGTGTAACTTCTTCTGCCTCTAGCCTCCAACGCTCCCTTCCTCACTCCCTCTTCTCATCCTTCACTCATCCTTCCGAACCCAACTTCCAGGTTCGAAAGCGTGAGGAGAAGCAGCGTGCCGAGGCTACGGACGAGGCTCGGCAGGCGCGTCGGCGGCGGCTGCTACTGGCCGAGCTTCCTCTCCTAACCGATATGGTAGTCGCTCTCTTTGCCAGCTGTCGCGCTGCCGTGCTGCCACATAGGGACCTTGTGGTCCGGCTGGTGGCCAATCACAGCAAGCAGACCAACCAAGGTATGATCTTGTGGGGTACAAGAATTTATATCACCATGCGTAATACCTCATGTGACCGTGAAAATGCTGAGTCACCTCTCTGTTCTCTCATCACCTTACCAGATTTGTTGCAAGTTTTTTCCACGATTGACAGCGTTGGGTGGTTATGCCTCTAATCCCAGTGTTTCATGTTATTTCTGACCCCCATGCTTCAGAGGAGATTGAGGAACAGTTGAAGATTCTAGAGGAGATAGCGCCAGATTGGTTGTGCGCTAAGATGTCCCTTCGAGGGGAGAAACTATATCGGTAAGTGCATTCGTTTATGAATTAAATTCAATCATCTCTCTGCCTTCGTAGTTGCTGTGGCAGGTAACCATGATGCTGTTTTAGCTACAGTAAAAATGCATGTGGTAAAAATGCTTGGCTCGGATAACTGATGTTGCGTCTGGGTATGTCATGGTTCGTCTTGCCTTGCCCACAGATTGTCCAAGGTGGTGATGGCCGCACACGTGAAGGCGCGGGTGAAGGATGAACAGAAGCTTGATCCAGATCAGCACCAGCACGCACCATCACGCCGTTCTATGCATGGTGCTTCCGAGGTTAGAAGGAGCTTGTTTTAGTAGGCTCGAGCAGGGAATGAAGCGTCTCCCAAAAGGAAGGGTTGGATAGGTTCACAAGGCATGTTTACTAATAAATCAGGTGCATAGGTTCACAAGGCCTGTTGATAAATACATGCATAATTCCAACTTATCTGAAGGTGTATGGGGGTGGGAGAATGTACATGAGTATTGAGAAGTACACCCTGCTTCTCGCTACACCGAACTGTGCCGTACAGGTGGAAAACCTTGTTATCTCTGATTTGGTTTATTGAACCATACCGAAACGTAATTTAACCACCGTTAACCGTGCTTTTCCCATCTTGAATTCATTATAACCGAATCCACAATGGCGAGAAAGAGGGTGTAGTAGAGTTTGCTGCTGTTTTAGGTACCGGTACACGTGTCTAGATTTTGTTGCTAAATTTACTGTGCTATACAAACGAATTCGGAGGTTCAGGGTTTGTGTTGTACGCCATCAGAGCGGATCGTCCGAGGTGGCACGCTGCGGAAGCTTGTGCTGACAGCAGATCGTTTTCCCCACGCATGGCGTTCCACAAAAGGGGGAACGCGCACATTTGACCCGCCTTCCGTTTGATACCAGCAGAAAATCGTCTCCCGCTCCGTGGTTAAAAGTGATTCTCTGCAATGCTGCGAGTTCTACTACGTTGGGATACGGTTTGTTGTCGGATCTTGCTGGTTGCCTTTGTGCTGCCGTTTCAGAATTCCACATCTGCTTCAGATTCAAAAGCTTCTCTGAAAACGGTTTCTGAGAAGTCCATTTCTGAGCTTTGTCATTCTGAAGCTGCTGCTTCTTCCGCCGACCTCCATACGTGCCAGACCCCTCAGCTTCAGCAGCAAACAAAAACAGACACAATGACGGTCAGTGATGGTCACATCCACATTTTTCCGTGTCAAGTTCTGCCTTTGTCTGTCTTACTCCAGTTGACAGAGATTCTGCTTCTCGGGGCTCCAGTTCCGTCTCTTTGTGCAAGCAATGATGTTATCTAACGCGATCCCTTTTTCTCGGTTTCAGGAACGATCCTACGTCATGATCAAGCCCGACGGCGTTCAACGCGGCCTTGTAAGTCGCACTCCGTACCTCTGAAAGTTCTGAAGAACCCGACGTGGTTTCGATCAAACTTCTTGCAAGCCATTGTTATATGCTGTATGAACTGGCTGCTTGAGAATCTCAAGGGACCGATTCGACCTGTTAATTGCTGCCCCTTCGAGAGTTGCTGTCATCTTGATCCCTCACATTGGACTCCCCATCCTCCTTCAAATCCCGACCTTCCCTAGAGGAACCTCTGCTCATACAGTCCCTTGGGATTTTGTCACTTATCTTGCGCGCAGGTCGGGGAGATCATCGGCCGGTTCGAGCGCAAGGGTTTCGTTCTGCGAGGCCTGAAGCTGTTCCAGTGCCCCAAGGAGCTGGCCGAGGAGCACTACAAGGACCTTGCCGACAAGCCCTTCTACAAGGGTCTCGTTGACTACATCATCTCCGGCCCTGTTGTCGCCATGGTATGTTCAACTCTCGGTTGTGCTACAGTATCTTGCGGGTTTAGAGAACTGGGAATTTGATATCTGAATGGTCAGGTTTCAGGCGTGGTGTGTGCAGTTCCATATATACGGATACAGGACAGAATCACATTCTAAGCATAGACATATCGCACCACACTCCCGCGAGGCTGCAACTTCCGCATGAGCACATATAAAAATCGCATCATTAACTAATTTGAACATCACGCTGTTGTCTTGCAGGCCTGGGAGGGCAAGGGTGTGGTGGCTTCAGCTCGCAAGCTGATTGGCGCCACCAACCCCCTTGCTTCCGAGCCCGGCACCATCCGTGGTGACCTTGCAGTCGAGGTTGGCAGGTAAGGTTTCTAGTCCTCGTCATCTTATCATCATTTGCTGCATGCGATTGGATCTGCCAGCGTTCTTTTGGTCGATCACATTATACGGTATCAGCACCTTGTTCTCAAGTGTTTTTATACGTCTCTTCTATTCAATATATTCTGCTCTTGCCTAACAGGAACGTCGTGCACGGGAGTGACAGCGTGGAGAATGGCGAGCGTGAGATTGGTAAGTACATGATTCCTGCAAAGGTTTCTGAACATTCTCGACATGACCTGTAGATGTTCCCATATCGCAGTGAATGAATTCGTGCTCTTGCTGAACCAGACTTTCAGCCCTTTGGCCTGAACCTCAATCCAACTTGTTTCCATGCGCTCTCTCACGTTGGCAGGCTTGTGGTTCAAGGAGGCAGAGCTGATCAAGTGGGACCCTACACTTCTCCCTTGGCTGCGCGAGTAAAGCGTGAAGCAAGCTTAAAATACAGCTGGATTGCATTCAGCTTCACCAATTTGCATAGAGTGTTGTCTTCGGTGTACTAATACAAAGCCATGAGACAAATCACTTGCTTTTCAAGATGTGCGACAATTAACAATTGTTCAGATTTAATTGGTCCTATAATGACATGGAGCAGAAAAGGCATGATTCCTCCAGAATCAGCCAAATCTACGGGACCTATCGTGAAACAAGCAGAACATATCGAATCATTGTCTACAAATTTCCAGATGATTAAGTTAGACCAGTGAAACTAGGGTGTCAGTAGTGAGTGAGTAGAGGCTGCAGAGGTTGTGGTTTCTATCTGAGCAGACAATGAAACCTAGCTATGATATAGCAAGGGACCCAGCTAGGTGCAGACAACCATTACCAATTTTGCCCTCTCTCGTGTCTGCCTTCTGGATCGATAGTTGGAATCGCACGCACATGCACCCGTTGTTGGATTGACAAAAAAATGGCTGTTCATGAACTTGCATTGCATGATCATTATTGACAGTGCAACTTGATCAGTTTCAAAGGCCTGGAACACATCACTCCCTCAACCACGGGGTTGAAACAGGCTCCCAGTCGCACACCTCACCCTCCTTGAACCAGAGCCCTGCTCAGAGGGGTATAAAATGCATCCAGGGGAGAGGGAGGAATGCGATGGGGTGCATGGGAGTGATGCAGGCATACAGTATAAGAAGTGGCCAAACATACTCGCATTGAGCTTGACACGGAAAGAGAAATAGGCACAGAAATGTCACCAAAGCCGGGGGAATGTGGAGAGTAATTGGACAAACAAGGGTGAGATTCGGGAGGGAAGAGAGATGGAGGGTGCAAATTGGCATAACATAAGTAGATGAGAGAACTCACCAATTTCGCGCTCGCCATTCTCGATGCTGTCACTGCCGTGGACAACATTCCTGGATATACAGAACAGGCACGGAGAATGTGTTGGTTATCTCGAATGTCTATGGCCTGAACAGATTGTTCTATCAGAGCAAGAGACTGCGTGAGCATTCCATGAATGCATGCCCTGATTCTAGAGTAACCATACCTGCCAACTTCCACTGCAAAATCACCACGGATGGTGCCTGGCTCCGCAGCCAAGGGGTTCGTGGCGCCAATCAGCTTGCGGGCTGAAGCAACCACTCCCTTGCCTTCCCATACCTGCCAGAAACAGGAAAGCGGAGTGGTACGAAGGTCGAAGTAGATGATCCAGGAACGATTGCCAGAATGCAGAATGCGGGCAGGAAATGTGAAGTTACACATTGGTTCATATCTTACCATGGCGACAACTGGGCCTGAGATGATGTACTCAACCAGCTTGCCATAGAAGGGCTTGTCAGATAGCTCCGTGTAGTGCTCCTGCTCATGGATGCGACAAGGGGGAGGGGAGGGGTGAGGGGGGGGAGGACTTTTAGGTGGCGAGAGTATTGAGTGATTACAGAGGAGCCAAGTTGTGGTGATTCGATTGACGTGCCAGTTCTAGATTGCTCGCCGCTCTCTCTCCTTTCCATGCTGGCAACTCGAAACTGTGTCGATAGCACATTGTACCGCATCACCCCCTAGCCATCATACAAACTCTCACCTTAGCAAGCTCTTCAGGGCATTGGAACAGCTTCAGTCCACGGAGGACAAAACCCTTCCGCTCGAACCGAGTGATGATCTCACCCACCTGCAATCACCATGACGGGCACCGAGACAAGAAATGGAATCAAATAATGTAATGCAGGAACTTGCTATTCGCACAAATGTGAGCGTCAGTGATCAATTGCGCTCCTGGAAACATGATAAAGGCGAGCTTTGACTCACCAAGCCTCGCTGCACGCCGTCGGGCTTGATCATTATGTAGGATCGCTCCACAGCCTATGGTGGGGAAAGCATGAGGGAATGTCACGCAGATCGCTGAGCCATGAGCAATTGATTGTCAATAAAAGCAATTATATGAATCTCATTTGTGTGTTTATAGAAGCTGGGCAAGGTAATGACATTCGTTAAAGAGCTCTTGATTTTTTTTTCCAAGTAACCTGCATATTGCTTGCTTAATTGATCTTACTGACGCACTGATTGAACAAGGCCTGTGCACATACCTCCGCCATTGCAGAGGTAGCTGCAGCCTTGCGGACGATGCGCTTGGAGCTCGCCTGAGAAAAACGAATCGAGTTCACAGATATAGAGGTGTGCTTCAGAGCTGAAGAATGCTCACACTGCGCTGTTCTCCTGACCCATTCATAGAAGTTTTAAGAATGAGAAAGTAGTGGGTGAATCTTAGCGACAGCGGGCCAAATTTACCTTGGCCACTGCCTGTCTAAGCTCCTGGCTGCGCCCAGTCAGTCGTTTCTCAGCAGCAAAGCTCAGCCTGCCACCAAAGCAGACACTAGCTCTCACAGACGCATTCGTGCGAGTCTCCTGGCAGGAAGCCAGGGAGGCGACAGTGGCTGCAGGCCGAGCAGACAAAGTGGCTGCCATGACGAGGATCCGGAAGTTAGGTTGACGCGACTACGAGAGACTTACGTCCCCAAAAGGTATGGGTTTGGTGGTACAACAGTTGAAGAAAAGCTTATGGCTTCAGGAATCAGAAGGAACTACGACATCTTGGAGCAACTGCAGGTAATTTCTCAGTCGCTTTCGCTTTCGCTCGTGGCTGTTAGTATTCTGCATTTCGCACAATGCTGTTCGCATTATGCCTATCCCGCTCTGCTTTTCGCATTCTGCTTTTCGCCCTTCTCCATTGCATTTCGCAATTTGCCCTCCGCATTTCAAACATCGCACCGAACAGAATCTGATCTGACCATAATATGTTGGCATTTCTAAATGTTGCAAATGGATTGCGTGCCAGGTGGATCACCACGTGGCGTGAAACCAAACCTCCAACCTAATGACGTGGTTCTTCTGGTCCTAGCCTACGTGGACAGTTTGGATCCGTTACAGTCCCTCTCGTGCTTGGAGAAAAGCCACTTCCAGAGGTTGTGATGAACCATGCCCACACAGTCTGGTAGTGGAGGTTTCGAGGGGTGACAGCAGCCAACGTCAGCTGTCACCGAGGAGACTGCTGCTGCAACTTCCTTCCTCGTCGGCACCACGTGCCAGAAAAGTGCCACCGAGAAGATTCTCCTTAGCCACAAGCAACCACGCCGACGTGACGTGGCCGTAATTCCACTGGTCAGTCAGGGAGCGGGCACGTTTTCCTGACTCTCTCCACGAAAGCCCGTAAATCACTCAAGTCAGTCTGCTGAATCCGCAATTTCCTTTGCGGTGGGTAGCACGAACAAGGTACACTGGAAACATCTACAAATGTTGACAACGTAAACGTTTCTTGAGGGCAAAGTTCCTCGACGTGGGTGGTGTCCCCTGGATTGCTTTTGGGTCTCAGTGCCTGAAATTGGAATAATCTATTGGACTCATGGAAATAGAGATATAGAACACGTTTACTTGTATTTATGTGACCTCTGGTGTAAGTTACTCTATACAATATCTGTAGAGAACTCCCATCCGCGATTCCATCACCTTCTGACCAGCCTGGCAGGAGGTGTCCAGATGATTCCTCCATTTCGGGAAAAGATGATCCGCCAGCGGCATCGTGCACACCTTCCCGCTGTTGTCCCTGGATTCTCCGTAGGTCACTGGTTCACAAACAAATGTAGAAGTTCCCTACGCATATTCGTCAATCAGACAACTAGCATCTTCCACTCGTTCCTTCCATCATCAACCCCTACAGCTGATTCCATTCTTTCCGTGATCACTAGCAGGCGGTGTTCCTTTCGCATATCTGATCAGCTCCCTCAGTTGATATTTTTATTACTTCCTCGTTCTACACACCACAATGGCCCTCGCCATGTCACCTGCTAAGGCTCTTTCTTCAGCTTTGACTTCGTCCTTCGTCGGGCGATCCGTATCATCGGTGGCGTCTCCAGTGCAAAGACCCAACTCCTCCGCGACTCAGTCTCTCATTCGTGCGGAGCTAATGTCTTCCGATAGTGCCCCCTGGACGGGCGACTCGTTACGATCAGAGTTCTCTTCAGCAACTGCTCACACCCCTGCCCCTGGTCTTCATTCGTCAAAGCGATCTCCTACCACACCATCGGCGTCCCTCGCTGCCGTTGGACCACTTGACGAGGCTGGGGTATCTATCCGGGTGAATGACTCGGCTACTCCCAAGTTCACCCCTGAGAAAGCCAGGCTGCTGCGTTTGCGGTTGAAGGAGAGCGAGGCCCACCACGACAGGATGTACCACTCCGGTCTTGCGTCAAGACTTGCTTAAATTCGCTGCGTCCTTAGGCCTAGGTCGAGTTGTCTAGATCAACTGCTGCGTGACCAGTACACGCTTCGGCAAACTATGCTGTATTTGATTGATTAAATGTAGTCTTTTTGTCTATAAAACGTGTGCAGCTCTGAAATTTGAAAATGTATGAATATTGATTGCCCAGCTGAGTTCACATGCGTCCTCTCGGAGAAGCACTGGTACACAACATGAATCCACGGCTGATGGCAGATCCGTTCCATTCCAATGTTATCATAAGAATGTAACGCGACATAACAGCCCCAATTCGCTTTCTGATGGATCGGTGCGTGGATGGAAGATACCACGCTGAAGATTGCCCCTGTCTGCACTATCACTGAACTGTGTAACAACTGGAACATCCTGCCATCACACCCCAGTTGCACGTGCGAGATTCGCCTTGCTACTACTCATCATGCTATCGGCACCCGTGGTTGTGGTACTAATGTTTTGCCCTCTTTCATAACTCATGCTATTTCATCATTTCATCAGTACCCAAATTCCCAGTGCTAAGTGAGAAGATAGAAAGGCATCTGATTAGGTATATCCCATATAGGATAATTTAGATTGCGTGTAGGTAGGGAAACATAGAAGCCGCTATCTTTTTTAGTGGTCGCATTGAATTGAACATTTGACATTTTCAGTATAGAATGTGGATACAAGCTACATTTTCTGTAAGCATCCCCATTTGGAGTGTACAATG